ACCGGCAGGGAGCTCATGTCAGACTGGCGATACTGCAACCAGACTTGCTGACGGCCATCTCTATGGCGTCTGTTAGCAGAACCTGGTGTACAGCAGTGCTCCCTTTGGTCCAGCACAAGCCCTTTGTAAATACCTGCCGCACGGCCAGGGCAGCAATGACTCTTGACATACGCGTCATGGTCCAGTCCTTTGACACGCCCCAGTGGTACCTCGCATCCGAAGAGCTCACCATCCATATTCAGCACAGCCAACACGTTGTGGTGCAGAAGTTCCTAAACCCCTTCAGCCACGGCGGGCAAGCAGCAACAGCCAGCAGGGGCGAAGAAGTTCACAGTGCTCTCTCTGACCACTACTACAGTCTCCTTTGAGAACTTGTGAGCCACAGTAATGTCTTCGACTCATGCTAGGAATATGGCACAGCCTCCGCTCAGGTGTGGCACAGCCACTCAACTAGTCACTGATCGAGATATGCTGCCTACCTGCCCGGAGAAATTGCTTCTGCGGCATGCCTGTACCAAGCTACAGCTGCACTATCGCTTACTATCGGCTTCCTTTGCAATCTGAGGTCCCAGCTGCCACTACACGGCCCCAGCAGCCCTTGCTCGCGTGCCCTTTGCTGTTGTTGCTTTGTCTCCAGTCGTTCTGCGTAGCCCTGAGCTTCGTGCTTGGCCATGTGACTCCGCAATGCTGTGCATGCATACCGCAGCTGTCAGACACAACTGCCGATACAGTAGGCAACAAGCAGAAGCATAGCAGACTTGCTCTCTTGACATGCCCTGCAGCAGGTAGGACTTTCTGAAACAAACTGCGACTCAGCGAAGAGCACAGCTCACCTTTTGGCCGCGTGTCACAGACTCTGGCCCGTCAGCTCAAGCTGTGACCATGGACGCCCCTCCCAGCTTGGGACCTTTTCTGGTGCTCAGCGATAGCACCTTGCAGCACATGCTTCGGGGACACACGTACGGAGTGTTCCCCTTGCTGACGGGACAGGTCTTAAGCTGTCCAGGCGCCGCCCTCAATATTTCTGCCAGCAGCGTCCCCTCCATCATGGAGCTCCTCCACTGGCAATTTGGCCTCTTTGGGCCGCTCCAATTCAAGGCGGCGGTCCAGAGCCAGCCGGTGGCCTCCATTTTGGAGAGTCACCTTGACGGGCAAATCAATGTTCGCTTTATTCCGCTGTCAAGAAGCTTGCGCCCGGAAAAGCAAGTCAACTATGATTACCTGATAGACGGCAGAGTCCAGTATGGCTTTGCGGACAAAAACCTGCCAAATCAGGAAATCATGGATTTGGCACAGATACCTGGAGTAGGAGGGGTAGAAAGGCTCTACAACTCCAAAAATCTCCACTTCCGCCCTGAAGTTGCAGACATTGTCATCCCGGCACTTCTCACAAGAGCCATCGAGGAAATGCGCAAACACACCAGGATTGCCTGTCCTCGTGGTTGCCGGCTGGAATGCTCGCCAGCAGGACATGCATGTGGAAATGCTGGCAGCCCAGGCTTTGTCACAATGCCGCACTGTCCGAGATCTCTCGGAAGTGGCCATGCAGTACGGACATGGACCCTGGGGAATGCGCTTCATGCATCTCCCAGAGTGGGAGGCAGCCCCCGTCCCGGCACTCCTCTTCCAGACCTATGTCCACGACGACAAGCCGGAGCCCGCCCAAGTTGCGGCCAAAATGTTTGCAGGCTTCACCCGCAAATTCTGTGACGATGGGGTTCTTCGAGCTACCCTGAGGCAACTTGCCGGAAAGTACGGCTCCAATCTGCTGGACCGCCTCAGTCAACCTGCTCATCGAGCAGATGTATTCCGTTACGTTTACCACTACCAGCACGGAGGCCTCTATGTGGATATTAAATGTGGCTTTGTGGTACCCTGGGAACAGGTACTGCAGCTCATGGCAGCAGATTGGAGCACAGCTCACGCAACGAGGGCAGGTGAAGTGGGTCACAGACCCTCCTCACCTGGCCAACTCCCAAAGGAGTTCATGGTCATGGCCATTGGAGTCAAAGGAGATCACATCAAGGCATCATCTATGGCAAGCCCAGGCACCCTCTAATGAGGGAGGCCATACAGCACGCCTTCAGCCGTCAGGTTATGACTGCGAAGGCGAACCTGGACTATATGATCTTCTGCAAATTTCTCGGCAGACCTTGAGTCGGGACCTTGGACATCCCCCTCAAGCAGGCTGGAATGTTTCCGCCAAGTTTGGCCCCATCTATTTGTTCCTGGAGCGCTGGGACAAGCGCGTGAAGAACAAAAAGTACGACAACGACGGCCACTACTTCGTGACAGCCAACAACACTACAGTCGCCTACACCAGGTGCTGGAAGTGGTTGAAGGGATTTCAGGGGGACCCCACCACCAAGGAGCGAACCGATCGCATGCTGCAGAGCCAGCTTCCCGACATCTCTCTGGAAATCCAGTCCGATGATCGAACCGAAGAGCACAGCTCACCTCAGCCACTTAGGTCACAGACCACGGCAACTGCCACTTCAGCTCCTCCTCCTCCTACGCAGGAGGACATCGAAACCTACGTGGCTGACAGCATCCAGAACAACTCCTTTGCGGCGCTCATGGCCACCGTCCGCGAGACCCATCATTACAACCAAGATCTTACGGAGCAGGATGTGCTGGAGCTCATTCCTCGCGGTTTGGGACAAATGGAAGTTTCAGGCTCCATGTGGCTGTGCTGCCTACACTGTCGGAAGCATAACCGACAGGTACAGTTCAGTACAGGCCACGGCCTCAAAAACCACTTTGTCACGCAGAAGCATGACCCTGTGTCACAACCTGCGGCGCCAAGCGACATGACGGCTACCCCAGCGCCACATCCTCCCCCTCCTCCAAAGCTTCCGCAGGAGATTCCTCTCCCACCCAGTAGCACCCGGACTAAAGGGTCAGACAAAGCGGCAGGATTTGAGCCGCCGCCTTCTCCCTGCCCTTTCACTTCCACGGCAGCCGAGAAGGCGGCTTTCAGGGCAAGCCAGGTGGAGGCACCGAAGGCGGCCCCAGCGGAAGCTAAGGCCCCACCGTCCATGGTGCCCACCCCGCGCCCCCAGCCTCCGGCAGGTTTTTTTTGGGCTGCACCGGCTCCCCCACCGGCTATCCCTGCTTCCCCAGTCCCTCCGCATCCCCCCAAGTCTGCCTCTCCGCTACCCAAGCCGCTCAGCGCTCCCTCACGCCCCCCCCTCCTTCCTCCCGTCCCCCGTCAGCATATGAGCCCCAGAGACAAATGCAGAACCAGTTGGTTATGTTCCACAGCCGGCTCCACCAAAGACAGTACGATACACGAGGCAGGAGCTGGCTCAACTGCTGAGTTCCCAGTCCCACCAGGACTGGATTCGGGCATTGGCTTCCATCAATATCCTGGTGGCTCCAGTTATTCTCGGAGGCCTCACCAACCACGAGCAGCAGACCCTCTGGTCTACCAGGATGGAGGCACTCCGCGAGGTACCTCCGCTGTTTTCGGCCATCAAGTCGGTAAAGACACAGTCAGGCCTCACATGGGACATCGCCATGTCTGTGCGGCGGGTCCTCACCAGCGATGGGAAGGTGACCATAGCCACAGGTTCGGGAGGAGCCTACCGCGAGTTGGATGCTCCCACAAAGGTGCATGGTCTTATCCATGCCTGCTTCAACAAGATGTGGGACGAGAAGGAATTCCGGCAGCACTTCCCAACGTGGGTAGAGTTCAACATGATCGCCACTACCATCGTGGCGGTCTACAATGAAACTGCAAAATCAGCAGGACTCCCAGCTCGCGTCTTCAGGGTCAAACCCAACAAAGATGCCTACTCCATCATGAAGATGCGGATTCAGCATGACAAGGGGCACGAGGAAGACAAGCGCATGGCCAAACTGGCTGCTGCCGCTGCGCCCAACAAGCGCCCACAGATGCAAGAGGCTGACACAGAGGGCAAGCGTCCGCGCGACGCCCTTAGGAACTCTTCCGACGCTCAGCAAATCTCTTCGGAAGCCTGTGAGCCGCGAGCTAGTCTTGCTTACAAACAGCACGCCGCTGCATCTGAGAGCCCTCTGAGAGCTGCCCACGTCAAAGTTGCCAACTGTCTGACTCCATCGGCGATGCATGCAGGTACATGCGGGCACGTGCACATGACCCTTACGGCCTTCTGTCTTCAGCATGAGTAATCCGTGTGGGACGCCACGAGACGGATACTCCAGGTGTCGGCTTCGTCTGAGGTACGGCCTAATTGTTGAGACAGGTGCACAGATGGACGCGTCTGTACACACCAAGGTGTCGGAGGAGGAAGCTTTTGCAGTTGTAGTTTTCAGAAGTTTGAGCAGTTTAGAGAGGTACGAGCGATGCATGCTAACAGCAGTTTCACGAGTGCACGAGACCAAAGGCGCCCGCAAAGCGCAGAGCACGCTCGCGCAGCGTTCAATTGAAAATAGTAGTAGTAGTAGTAGTAGTAGTAGTAGTAGTAGTAGTAGTAGTAGTAGTAGTAGTAGTAGTAGTAGTAGTAGTAGTAGTAGTAGTCGTAACAATAGCAAAAGTGGCTTTAGAACCACTTCGTCTCAAGGGAAGCCGCAGTTCAGGGAGGGTTTGCGCAGCTGCTGTACCCGTCGGTAGCAAAGCAAAAGCACTGTTGCGGCGTGCTCTGCGGAACAGTGCGGTGTCCCGCCCGCAAGGAGCGGAGCCGCAAGGGTTCACAACTGCTCCCCAGTTGGCCGGTGCTGAGGAGCGCGGTTTGGGCATTACCCAGCAGGACCAAGAGATTCGAAAACTTGAACTAACAGTGCAAAGTGACGTAGTCAATAGCACCACGTAGACGTGCAAATAGTGGGAGTATGTAGTAGTAGTGGTAGTAGTGGTGATGGAGTGGTAGTGGTGGCCATGGCAGTGGTGGTAGCGGTAGTGATAGTAGTGGTAGCAGGGGCAGAGGTGTCGAGGTGCCATGGTGGCAGTCGTCGTAGTGGGAGCACTACTGCTGCCACTGATAGTCGTGCTCGACTGCGAAAGTGTAACACGGCCAGAATTATGGCCGTAATACTACGTAGGAGCAAGAACCAACGTGAGAGTAGTGGGCAAAAGCCTCAACATCTGCAGCAGCAACAGTCACAGAGTCACAAGAAAGCGTGTCACTGGCTTCGGAATCCCCCAACCCTGGAATGCCAACGTCCGTGCTTGCCTTCGTGAAGAACTGGTTCATCAACAGCCTTCCCTCGTCGAACTTTTGGCGCGCGGTGGTAATGTTGTCCTCCAAATAGAAGGACTAATCCGATATTAAGATTTCGTGCTTTTCATCCATTGCCTGAGAAACTAGCAAACTGGAGAATTTGTTGTATTCCAATGCTTTTAGGCAGGATGCTATGGTCGAAGCAACAACACAGAAGGCTGCTTCAGCGGTCCTCACGTGCAGCCTTCCCCAGCTGATACTGGTTAATTTCGAACTTCTGGAAAATCTGGACAGCGAGCGTTCAGGAAACTTCAGGCTTCAAGGGCTGGGTTTGCCTGCTGCAGCTCCTCGGATGTATCTGGATCCACGGCATTGCTCAGGGACACGTCCCTGAGCTCCGGCAGAAGCTCAGGAAGTGCAACGAAGCACAGACTCTTGGCTCTAGCTCCCGGACTTTAAGACGGGGACCATGCCAGAGAAAGCAAGCTCTTTGGGAACAGCGCGAAAGAACGGGCTCAGAGTTTGAGATGTGGAGTGCAGCGATTGTTTATCGAAGTCATTGCTTCGTGTGCTGTAAGGACCAAGACCGACACGATCATGAGATTCAGTGAGAACCGAGGATCTGAAACGGCCTGTTTCCAAGCGCACCCCGATACAGTATGTGTTGTCATGGGTCGTCTGAGTGCCGTGCTTCATGGGATAAAGGATATTCCGTTCGAAGACTGTAATGGAGGCACCAGCACCGGCATTCTGGCTCACATTGCCTTTGTACCTGACATCCCAGATCTCTGGTCTCTTGGCAGCGGCCGCCCAATCCCTGACTGTAGATGTGGATGCTCTGTTGTGTCCCCGAATGTCCGACCTGCCAGCGGACATGCTGAGCCTGTGGCGACATGCCCTAGCCGTGCCAAGAGAAGCATCATGGGTGGTACTTGTACAAGTATGCTGCATCTCATACGTGGGCCACACGTGTCGAGCATTGTCAAGCTCTAGGAGCACCCCCGGCGCACATCTCGCGAAGGCTGGCGAGGGAACGAGCATCTGGGCAGGCAGCGCCCATCTCCTGGCCATTAGGCGTAGTGTGCTGCGAATCCGACGGAGGGTATCTGTGCCTTGCACATCTCTTCACTAACCAGGTTCTCGGTCGGGTGGACCAAAGGCTTGACGTCAAACATGTACCTCACGGTCGGACAAAAGGGCGGACACCGTAAGACTTCGAATCTCACGAGGGCACCAGTCGGCCGCGAAGTTCAGGACCCGTGCCTCCCGTCCAGTCCAGTGTCAGACTTAGAGGCGGTGGCACTCCCACCTGGGTTTTCACTATTGCAAAGCTATGCTCTGCTCTCGAGCAGCCACCTTCTCACGGAAATAAGCGAGGCGGTCCTCCATCTGGTACCTCCAAGGCAGGGATGCCACATGTCGTTGTCCCCCACACGACATCGCACATCTAAGGGCACTGAGCGAAGGCAGCCTGCGTCAGGGCCAGGCTGTCAAGCAAGGTGTAAGCCGCAGGATGCTGTCAAGATAGCAGAGAAAAACCAAGCGTCTGCAGAAGGCCTGGGGTGCAATCAATGAGGTGCCGCTTGCCAGAATCGCCTAGGGACATCATGCACTTCCAAATTCAAGAGAGGGGGTGGCGGAGTGAAGTATCAGAATAAACCCGGAGGTTCTTCTAGGTCCGAAGTCCGAAGCACTTGCTAAGACCACTACGTCTCTGCGCGAGAAGCTTCCGCTCTGTTGCCGCGTTCCGCCGCGGTGGAGCATCGCGCCTCGTCTGTGACTAAACGCAATTAAGTTGAACGGCTGTTTCACTTCACCTTGCCTGAGATACAGGTCGCCAAGGCCACCCACGCCCATACAGGCCTGGCGCAGTGTCAGGATCTTGTTCTTGGAACTGGATCGTAAAGCGAGTACTTGCAGCTTGGATGATCGGCCTGGCCTGCTGTCTTGGCTGTGGCTGTCCCGTGTCGGCGAAGCTGTCAGCTGCCTGAGACCCATTGCACACAAAATCCTCTGGTGGTTGTATGGCGGTTTGAGTTTCTATGGCCTTCCTCAAGGAAAACTCAGGCTGCGGCGTGGCGCCAGGCTCCTGCAGTCCCACATCCGTTCAAACACAGATGTAGCACATGTGCCGTGCTCCTGTGGCCATGTCCAGTATGCAAAATGTCACGTCAAGCTTGCAAGTCCCGGCTCCTGTCTGGTGACGCTGAATCGCGGCGCGCGTGGAGCAACGAAGCCTACAGCAGCAACAGATTTCAGCCCCGAGGAGGACCGGCTTTCGCTCTTGACTAGCAACACTTCGGGCATCGTGTTGCAAAAAAATCGATCTCTCTGACTCTCCAGTCGGTCGTCGGAGTCTGCAAGACTGCGATGTGGAGCCTCAGAAACCAGACCGAGCGCTGCACCGATAGCTGAGGCCCCAAGGAGCAGGGCCGTCCTTGTCAACGGCTCGATTGACAGCAATGAACAGAAGCGGCAAAGGCCCGGACCAAGACATCCAGGATCGCAGAGCCATGGCCGTTGGAACAATGTCCTCGCAAAGGAGTGCTTCCTGCTGAATGATCTTGAGTCCAATGCCCATATGAGTCACTGTACAGGCTTAGCACCCTGAGCCGGGATGGCACCTGGGAACGATCGCTGAGAAGGTTTTTGCAGCATGGTATCTGAGGCTCGCAGGCTTTCGCAGCTTTTGTTCCCGGCGGCGATTGCCTCAGCCCCCTAGGCGCATGCCCGTTCCCTGGAAGGCTTGAAAGCTTGGCGGCTGGGGCCCCGGAGTCTCAGGTGGCCCGGGACCTGGGAAGTTTCGCTGAAGAGGGGCCATGGGTCCGTCAGCCATGTTCGCATTCACCAAGTTGTGGAGCTTGAGACCTTGGTAGGCCCCAGCACCTTGGCAAACGAAGGAGACGAGCACGAATGGGCCCCCCACGAAGAGCTTCAGAGTCAGGAAGATGGCATTGATGCCAGACAGGAAGGCATAGGCCATCACGCAGGTTAACCCGTGGCTGCATTGACCGAGGGGGCTATTTGCCAGGCAAGCATAGCAAGGTCCCACATTCGGATCGTCACTGAGTAGGAAGATCCCAACACAGCCGCTGAGGACTTCGTTGATGGGAATGTCGCCGGTGCAGAATCGCCCTACAGCCGCCACGAAGGTTCCAATCACGCAAAACCGGATCCGCCGCATCTTCTCGAGCATCTCCGCTGTCGGTGGGCCCACGTTGATTGGACCCGGTGCGCTCAGCGGAATCATGTCTATCCGTGCTCTGAACAGCTACGCCTCCGCAGACCACCACACAGCACATGCGTGCTTTGATTGATTCAACTCATGTCACGAATGCTGCATGCCCTTATCGCTTTGATGTTTTTTGAACTGAGGGAAATCTCTGACAGCACCTGTGGCTCTGACATGTATTGGCAAGAGCCGAGAAAACCATGTGTGTCAGCATGAGCAAGTGTTGCCAACGCGTCAAAGAACAACCCGACGGGTTTCGTTGCTGTTGCTTGTGGTGCTCGGTCGGCGCAAATCAACGCGTCGGCAGCAGCAGCAGTTGCCTGAGAGCACAGCTCTGCCGAGCCAGAGTAACCAGAATGGGTCATTTTCAAGAGCCTGTTTTTCTGGGCCACCCTGCGACAGCGCCTGCTGCCCAATCCACGTCTGCGGCTTTGGACCTCAGAAGCATTCCCGTCACTTCGCTTCGCAAACCTTCTACAATACTAATTCCTGATAGCAAAGTGCAGTGCGACGCGATGGCTCTTCCACAGTTTGCGTTCCAGTGCGCGTGACTGCAGCCTCTAATTAGGCTTCCTGCTGTAGCTGCCTTGCACGGCATTGCGCTCGATTCTTCGCATCCTGGGAGACTCTCTGAGACACTGCTTGGGAAAGGGCTGTCCGACTGCACGGCAGCGGTGCAGCAGGACTCAGCTAGCGTGAATTTCGTCTGCAGTCCTTCGCAGCTGTCAGCTCCTTCGCAAGCGTCTGACACGCCATGTTGGACCTCGACTGAGGATCAGAGGTGCGAGGTGCCGGGATGTGCCAAGACCAAGAGCATAGCAAAGCTGCAGGACGCGGCGCCACTGGGGCCGGGACTCCTCGAGCAAAGCGGCCTGGCGCTTCAACTCTTCGCCTCTCGAGCAGGGCCCCAGGCGTCAGAATGCGTCAGAGCTCGGGATCCGAATCCGCTCAGCTGAGGAGGCCACGCAGGCGCCGGAGCTCTGCCTCGCGACGCTTCGCCGCAGCGGCCCCGAGGACGTTGGCGCGCTCCACCTCTGCAGCGGTGCGAAGCGGAGCGAAGTGAGGCAAGGTCGCTCTTTAAAGCTCTCACTGTAGCACTGTCGCCTCGCCCATGCGCTGATGGAAGCCATCTCGCTCCGCCTCTGCCAGCCGGAGCTCCATGTCGGCATGGGGAACCCGAGGCCCTGGCCCTTGCTTCGCAAAGGAGAGCGCACACAGCGTGAAACACCTCCAGAAGTGTCGCTTCTGCATGCTTCTGCAATTGACTTGCATCTAGAATCTAGATCTGCGGCCGGGGGCCTGGCCTGATCGTAGTTCTCGGGCCGCGCAAGGCAGTCGCGCACGGTGGCCCAGAGGCGCGGGTCCTTCGGTGAGAGAAATGCGGCGGCCCGAGCGAGCGGCCAAGCAGCGGGTCCTCCTGGTCCTGGACATCCTCAAGGACTCACAGCGACAGAAGTGATGTGTGTGGAGGTGTCTGTGTCACGGACTTTGGGCTTCAGCTTCATGCTGTGATGCCTCGAAGCTGCGCTACAGAGGTCGGCTTCTGACCCGCATGGAACTCGAAAAGGCAGCAGTGTGGGATGAGCAATTCCAGACTCTAGACTCTAGACTCCCGGAATCTCCTCGAGGTTTCGAGATCCAAGACTCAAGGCGGCTGAGCTGCAGTCTGCTCGGAGTTTCGCTCCGTGCCCGGCGAGGTCCTCCAGGTTGTCTGAGTGACAACACGGGCACTTTTGTGACCATCCATCTCAGATCTTCCGCCTGGTTGGCACATTGGGGCGGAAGTGTCACGCCTTGGCGGCTCCAGGTGCCCCAAAAGGAGTCCAGGAGGAGTCTAGGAGTATCACGCTTCTGACCCCCTCTTCCTCGTCCACTCATGAGTATGAGGAAAAAAACTCAGGTCCAGGCTGCCCCCCGACCTGGCGTGTAGATCAGGTTCGCGCGTGCCGAAACATTGCAACTGACAGCTTCTATGCAGGAGCAGCACTCTGCTCGCTTCGGTAGCCTAGCCTGCTTGCACATATCACTTCTCTCTCACGAAACTGTGTGTCACACCAGGCCGAAGCAAATGGCTTGTGTTCAATGAATGTGACATCAAGTGAGAACACGAGCTCTTCCTGAACCCCAGCAGTGGCGGAGCCTCCGGCATGGCCTGCGGCAAAGGCCGCGGCTCCTGCCAGCAGGGTTAGATCTGAAAACGGGCAGTCTCTTGCCTCATTTGCCCTGCAACCTCCAGGGAGATCTGGCAGATCTGAGAGCTCTCTCGAACAAGTTCGACGGCCTGACTGAAAAATCACAAGTCCGAGAGAGAGAGGAGTCCACGGATCGGGACCTTGGTGCAGCCTCTCAGCTCCACGAGGGGATAGAACGGCCCGCGCAGCGGTAAAGAGGCCTGGGCTCAGACAGAATCAGAGTCGCTTCTTTTCCACCTGAGCCGACCTCACACGCCGCGACGGTCCTGCCATTCAGCCGGACCTGATTACTGGCAGTGGCAGGGCTTCTTGCCCCAGTTAGGTCAGAGCTGCAGACTTGGAATTCGCCCCCAGTGCTGAGGAACACATGCACCTGGCGCTGGACGGTGAGGGCCCTGTCTCGCGAGTCTGGCACAGCACAGGTCCCACGCCTGGTCGCCCACTTGCAGCTGGCTCGTGTCCCAGGTGATGTCATGGCCTCCCAAAATTAAAAAGGATGCCACAACCAGTCCAAGGCGGCCATGGGCCAAGGCGGCCAGGGTGCACTGGTTTCCATCCCAGAGGGCACCACCACCACCGGCCACCACGCTGTCTCAGACCAAGGATACGAAAGGCGGGTGGTGCGGTCTCCGGTTTCTTGCTCTTGCCCTGGCCGACCTGGAACATCTGCTGCGAAATCCACGTCAGGTCGCAAGGCCAGGCCTCGGGTGAAAAAGATCTCCGAACACGAAATCTAAACGAATCTAAACCCTGACACGAGGACGAGAGTGTGGCTGTCTGGACTGGTAATCGTCAGGCCAACCTCGTCCGGGCAATCCAGGCGTGGTCAAGCATGTGTGGATTTTGGGCCTCAGGCCCTTGCCCAAAGCCCAGAGCTTAGACCGGTCTCGGTGTCCACGGCAGCGATGAGAAGGCTGAAACCCTGACACGCACGCATGTCTCGATCATCCGAGAGCAAATGAAAGCGATTTGGCTAAGCTGGCTTGCCGGCATTGTTGTGCGGAGGTTGGGTGGGCGTGAGCTCCAGCGTTTGCGATTGTGGGCCAGGCCAGCTCCGCGTACAAGCGCAAAAGTCTAACACCGAGATTTCGTTGTTCGGCTTATTTGCCTTTCCAAGCCCAGTGTCTGATCTCCTGGCGCGTGCTTGCGTGCACGCATAGAAGTGGAAAAGCGTAACCTCAGTGCAGCGGCGGAAAGCTCGTCTTTCGGCGAAAAAGCGTAAAATTGTAGCAGGTAAACATCAAGCTTTTCGCTTATTTCGTTATGTTCGACTGAACTCTGTGAACCTCGAGCTCCTGTACCGAAGCCTACGCGCCTTAACCCTCAAACCTAAGCCCGTCTGGTTCCTATGTGCGCCACGGGCCTATTGAACAAGAGCTTCAGAGCTTAAGGGTTTTATCTTTCAACGCAGTCGGCTGATCTGCCGCCCCGACCTTTTTTGCTTTTTCGTTCTACATCCCTCGCATGCACGTTGGCTCGGGGCTTTTTGATGCCTTCTGCTTTTGCCGCAAGTGCTTTTTGAAGTGTACATGTTGGTTTTGTTTGCATGTTCTGTTCCGTGCGCAAAACTAGAATTTCCTGCATGTTTGCTGGCGATTTATGCTGACGACCTCGTTCGGTTTTGCCGATGTTTTGGCTTTCCGGATGGCATGATTTTTGATTTTCTTCGGTCTTGCCTGATTTTTCTGTGTCAATCAATCCATTCTGAGAACGAAACAGCCATGGCCCAATCATGATAACATCCATGGTCTCATCGGTTCTGAGAAGAGAGCAGCATCCATGGCCCAAGCATGATGAGTTCGCAATGAGGTCCATGGTCAAATCCGTTCGCGAACAAAGCATCCGTGGCCCCGACCACGGACATCTACACGTTCTGAGACCAGAGCATCCCTGACCCAACCATGGCGGGGTTCATGGTCTGATCACCTCTGGCAAGCATGATGAACTGAAGTCCATGGTCTCATCCGTTCTGAGAAGGGAGCATGGCCTGAGAAGAGAGTATCCATGGCCCAACCATGATTACCGCCATGTGCTAATCCGTTCTTCTCTTGTGTTACGGCTATGGCAGAGGGTTGCAGGGTTTTGTCAAAGTTTGCACAATGTAGGATTCTGGTTGAGCCCCATCGAACCTTTGGAACCAAAACCGCCGCAGCTGTGCCTGCAGTGAGCGCGGCCAGTGCTTCACGATCACACGTGTCATGCTGGGTCTGTGTTCAGCTTTCTACCCGTTCGGCTTTGGGCTCATCGATGGAGTGACATTACAAATTTACTCTGGTTTTGTCTTTTAAATTTTGCTGTGCTCGCTCGCAGGCGGGTTTTGATGCTTTGAGCTATGTCGCGTGTATTGCACTGTGGCCTTTTTCGCGCGGTGGCCTGTTTTTGCACTTGTCAACATGTTCTCTTTGTTTTTGTAGTTTTACCTTCTTCGTTCCATGTCATGTTTTACACCTTTCCGCGGTTGCAACCGTTTGCTTTTCTGCGCGATGGTCTGCATTCTACGATTTCACGTTTTCTCGTGTTTACAGGTTTACGCCCGGCTGCGGCAGGGGAGGGGGGGGCCCCACCCTATATCCGGACCATTGACCTTTGGGGGGGAGGGGGGGGTGGGGCTGCGGAGTTATGAATTTTTTTATCTCGTTGAACGGCTCCTCCTTTCGTCGACGCGGAGAGTTGTGTTACGTAACAATGCAGGACTGCTATATAGTTCTCTGCTTTCTACGAAATTAAAACGTCCCCAAAAAATTTTAAATTTTGAACACAAAACGATTATATATGGTCAGGCGTCTGACGTTCCCAGCCCCCCCCCCCTGAGATGTAACCCGGACG